AATAATTATATATCCATCATTTTCAATCTCGATAGTTGAACCAGTCTCTTCAGTCAATTGATTGATAGTTTTGCCGCGTGGCCCGATAATTAAACCAATCGTTTCTTTTTCGACATAGAAACCCCGACATTTAATTACTTGGGCAGGCAAAGCAGAACGAGGATGAAGAATTAGATTTTTCATTTCAGTTAATATATAGAAACGAGCCTGACGAGCTTTTTTCAAACATTCTTTTAACAGTTTAGTGGTGATTCCTTTATTTTTGACATCCAATTGCAGTGAGCAAATACCTTCCTCAGTTCCAGCAATTTTAAAATCCATTTCACCCAATTTGTCTTCTAGACCGTTAAGATCAGTGTATATTTGACCTTCAAATAATCCTAAAGCTATTCCAGCAGCAGGCCTAATAAGCGGAACTCCAGCAGCCATCAAAGATAAAGAAGTAGCACAGATAGAAGCTTGAGAAGAGGAACCATCTGAAGAAAAAATTTCAGAAACTACTCGAATAGTATAAGGAAAATCGATAACTCCGGGGAGTAAGTAATCAAAAGTTTTTTCTACTAATTCACCATGACCAATTTCTCGCCGGGAAACTGCCCGATAACTAGCAATCTCATTGACCGCAAAGGCAGGAAAATTATAGTGATGAATAAAATATTTATGATAGCGAGAAAAAATGCTGTCAACTAGTTGCTTATCACTAATTTTTCCAATGGTTACTACTGAGAGAACTTTTGTTTCTCCTCGTTCAAAAACTGCGCTTCCATGAACACTAGGTAAGTAATCAATATGAATCCTTAAGGGACGGATTTCTTCAACTTTTCTTCCATCTAGACGAGTTTGTTTTTTCTTTCAAATTTTTCGCATTCAATTTCGCAAACAATTGTCTCAAAATTGTTCGATTAAACCTTTAACATAAGCCTCTTCTAATTGTGGATTCTTTTTATAATATTCCTTGGTCAATTCCTGTCGATACTCTTTAAGTCTTTTTTCTTTTTCTATTCAAGAAATACTAGACAAGAGAAGAACCTCCTCTAAACAATAATTACTCTTTTCTATCAACCATTCATCTTGAAGAATATCTAGGCCATTTTCTTTATTTATTGTCTTTTTTTCTTCGGTTTTTAATACATTAGCAATATGGCGAAAAAACCCGATTAATATAAGGATTTCTCTTTGAGCAAAACTTATTGCTTTTTCCAACTCTTCTTCACTTATTTCCCGAGCAGCACCATCTAACATAACAATTTTCTCTTCTGTAGCACTAACAATCAATTCAAGCGGAGAATTATTTAATGCTTCGCTACCAGGATTGCAAACAAAATTGTCTTTTTCTTTACCTATCATCACAGCTGCTAAAGGAATGTTAAAGAAAGGAAGATTAGGAGAAAGAAAACAGGCTAAAAAAGAATTTCAAATCGATACTAAACGAGGATCACACTCTTTATCTAACGAAAGAACACAGTTGCTTATCTGTACTTCTTGGCTCCCTACTAAAGGAAAAAAATTACGAATTGAACGATCGACCATTCGAGCAGCAGTTATAGCATCATAACTCGGCTTACCCTCCCGTTTACCAAAGGCACTAGGAATTCTTCCTACTGCATAAAATTTTTCCTCAAAAGTAACTGTTAAAGGAAAAAAAGAATTAATCTCTTCTGCTAATTGCTTAACTGTTAGCACAGTCAGAACCGTAGTATTACCATAACGACAAAGGACAGATTTTTCACTCTTGGTAGCCAATTGATCAACTTCAAATACTACCTCCCGACCTTGGAAATTAAACTCAAACTTTTTTTTTTGCTTACTAAAAAACTCCTCTTTTAAGTTAACTTCACTCATATATCATTATTTTGAGTTATTCGAAATAGCAAACAAAAATTTGTATTGAAAATTTTTACCTTATTGCTTTGACCTTTTCATTATTGTAATAGTGTTTTTCTCTTTTCAACAAAGAAATGGTTTAAATCTTTTTACTCCGCCTTAATATCTTTTCTTATTTTTCTGAAGAATAAAACTAAATCCTAAAAATATTACTAACAATAAAACAGCGGCAATCGATAACACTACACTTAAAGGAAATCTATTATCAGAATTAATCGGTCCCTCTGAACCAGAATAGTTTTCTAGTTTGTTAAGATAATTCTGCACTTCAGATCTCCGATTATTGTAGGAATTCTGGCAGAAAACATTAGGATTAGAAATAAATTCTAAAATTTGGTTTTTAACTTTCTCAATTGCTTTTTGAGAACGAGAAGTTAAGGCTTGCCTGGCCTGATTAACTATTTCATTTAAATTTCTGTTGGCCTCTGCTTGTCTTATGCTAGAAATTACAATCATCTCAGATTCAACAATTAAGGACGGTTCTTCAATCTCTCCACTAACTATTTTTCTTTTAGCCGCTCGAATGTTATTTGCTAATTCTTCCTCTCTAACCCCGCTTCTTTCCATTTCCTCCTCAATTTTATTAGAAACTCTTTGCCGATAGGAAGAGGGATTTTCTCGAGCACTTTTTGCCTTTAAATTCTTAATTAGATCTTCATTATCCCAGTAGGATTGGCTGCCATAATTTTCATCTGCCTGTTCAATTTTCTCTTCTAGTTTCGAACCCGCTTCATTTTTGGCCTCATCAAAAATATGTTTTAATCGTTCTTTTCGCTCTCTTTCTCGACTTTGAGAAATAGCTTCCAGCATTTGCTTTTGAAAATCTTCTAATTGATCAAATTCTAATTTTCAAATTTTATCTACTCAACTCGAAAAAGGACTTCAAAGGCCAGAATCTAGTTCTGAAGAGTGAACAACTGGTTCAACATCAGTAAGTTTTTCACATATTTTTTGAAAAGCTTCTTTGCGGAGTCCGCTTTCCTTTTCATCGGATTCGTGAGTGAATGTAGGGACATCTTTATTCTTTTTATCTCTTTCCCTCTTCTGCTGCCCTTTTTCATCTTCAATTTTTTTTCTGCTTTCTCCTAAAATCTCTTTTAATTTGCTTTCATCAGAATTATCAGACGGGAATCCTCACTTCTCGTTTCATTTCACAAAATCATCAATAAGTTCTTCTCAAATCTTTCCAATATATAACACTGTTTTTTTAGTAAAAGACTCTTTTTGTATTTGCTCTTTTCAACTCTCGCGCTTAATTTTTCTTCTTTGGTCTCCACTTAATTTAGGATTCCTAAGTTTCTTTTCAATTTTAGTAATTGCTTCCTCTTTAAGTTTCGCTAACTCAGTAGCATAAGTAGCAAAGAGTTCTAGAATTTTGTTTCTAAAATTATCTACTTCACTTCGGGTATCTAAACAAAAATAAATATGACTTCAAACGCTAACTCTTTCATTATGTTCGCATTTTTGATGACCAAAAGCATCAAAATACCTTTTTCCTAAAAAAGTTTCAAAATCTCCTAACCTACTATATTTCAAAGCATCCCAAATAGCTCTATTAGCTGCACCACGATAATCAGTGTAAACAGGAGCCTCCAATCCTCCTTTTGATTTCCAAAAATCTTTTTCAGGTTTAGAAGTTGAACTACCCGTTTCATAATCATATCAACTATCATAATCAACTTTAATGTTTGGATCAGATAAAATTTCATAAGCCTCAAGAATGTTTTTAAATTCTTTCTCTGCTTTTTCACTGTTTTTATTTTTGTCTGGATGATATTGTAGGGCTAACTTCTTATAAGCACTTCTGATCTGAGTTAGATCACTTTCCCGCTTGATTCCTAATAATTTGTAATAGTCTTTAAATGTGTTCGCGTTCATATATATATATATATATAAGTTTTATTATAGATTTTACTCTATAACATAATTTTATAGTAACTTTTTAATTTAATAAATGGGTTTTAGTAGGTGAATATCTTAATTTATACTTTAATTGTTTAATAAACATTATTTAGTATTATTATGAGAACAAGAGCAAAAATATCAGAACCTAAACACACATTCAGCATTAATTTGCCGATTTCTTTGTATCAAAAATTAGTAGACGAAGCAGGAAAAGGAAAAATTGGCATTTTTATTAAGGATGTATTAGAGGAAAAACTTTCTAAAAAAGAGGGAAACTTAGTAAATGAATACCAAGAGTGTTATTCTAATCCACGAATGATAAAAGAAGCTAAACAGTGAGAAAAAGCAGGCATAGAAAGTTGATTAAAATACGAAAAGAAAAGAGCAAAAAAAGTAATTAGTGAATGGCAGAAAAGTTAATTAAAAGAGGAGAAGTTTATTGAGTTGATTTACCAGATAGTAATGGACGAGAATTAAAGGAAATTCATCCTTGTTTAGTAATTAGTAATGATAAGCAAAATTTCGCTAGTCCACTAATAACTGTTATCCCAATTACTTCTTTAAAAGAAGGTGATAAAGTTTTTTCTTTTCAAGTTCGGGTCAAACTTAAAAAAGATAGTGTAATATTAGTGGATCAAATTCAAACCATTGACCGTGATAAGTTTAAAGACAAAATTTACTAAGATAGAGGAAAAATCATTAGAGGAAGTTGAAAGAAAGATCCATTTTGTTTCAGCGTTGAGGAATTAAAAATCAGATCACAAATTTTACTCCTGAGTTTAGGAAAATTTCTCTTAATTATTACTTAGTAATAAAAAAACCCTAAATAATTCACTGGATAATAGGCTTTTTCTAAAAAAAACTGATCTGAATACTGGGTTATTTTAAAGCAAAATTACTAAAATCTTATTTATAACAAATAAAATTTAATAAATCTAAACAAAATGGTATACGAAAATAATCTTCCTAAAACTGAAACAGTTTATGAGATAAAAAATGAAGTTCCTACTTTTGAGGAATTTATGAAAACTTATCAGGAGGATGAAGGAGCAAACAATAGTTATTATTACGAAATTGATAGTCATGGAGATATTAGAGTAATTAGACCTTATGGTCCGGGTTGAGGTGAATGATTGGTAAAGACAACAATAGTTGTAGGAGGAGGTTTTGTTTTAGGTCCCATCCCTGCTATGGTTGTTGGAGGTTTAGCAGCAGGAGGGGCAACAATCGCTGAAAACGTGGTAGATGATCCGGATGCTAAAAAAGTATTTGGGTTTGTTTCTGATTGTGGAGTAGGTATAGCCACAGGTGGAGCAATTGGTGCAGTCGCTCAAGGTGCTGGTGCTGTTCTAGGAGCAAGCGAAGTGGCTGGTTTAGGTAGCAGTGCAGGAGAGAAAGCAGCGATCGAAGCATTTAAAAAAACTGGTAGCGTTTCTTTTGCCGGCACATCGCATTTTCTTGCTGCTGCTAAACACGGAATAAAAGTAGTAGGTGATATCGAAAAAGTGGTTTCTTTTTTAAAAGATTTAGGATTTACTGCTAATGAAGCAAGAGAACATGTAGACCACGTGAGAGATGGTTATGATTATAAGTCTTGATGCAAAGTTTGCACCGCTTAGTAGTTGTTTTATTACTCCCTCTTTTTACAACCATAGGGCATTTTTTGTTGGAATTTAAGCAAATTAGCGGAACAGAAGGGAAGATACTATTTACTTTCTTTCTTTCAGTTCCAAGTCTTGTAATTTTTTTTTTCATAAAAGAAAGTTTTGAAAGGTTTTTTTATGAAAAGAGAAAATGAAAGAAAACACTAGATAATAGTAGAAGGGTTTTAGGTTTTTCAATACTCACTTCGTCTATTTATGTTTTGTTAGTATCTTTTGTTTACTTTTATTTGTTTTCACTACTGATAAGTATCTCATATTCCTAAAAACGAATTTACTTTTAAGCCAAGTCCAAAATCTCTTTTGGCTTGGCATTTAGTATTTTTCTTAATAAACTCCTTTACATTTTGCTTAACTTTTACCCTTTCATTAGTTTCATTACTAACTCAATTATTAAGCATAAATTTCTTATCAAAGTATTTAAAAAAAGAACCAAAAAGAATTTTGTTAACTGATATCTTAGGAAATTCACCAAGACATTAGGAAAAATTTACTTTTTTTTGGTTCTTTTTTTAAATATTAGGAAAGTATTAAACCTTAAACAATGTGCTTCAATTATGCTTAACTTATTAAGCAATTTACTAAGAAAATAGCACAAAAAGAGCATTATTTAGTATTAATCTTAACTATTTGGATAACCTTTTATCAGTGTTTTATACGTGTTTTTTAAAGGGCTTTTGTTATGGTATGTTACTATAAATAGTAATAATGGCTAATAAGAGAAAAAAGCATGAGATATTAGGGGGAATTAAGGTTAGTTCGGAGCAATTGAGCGAGTGAGGAAGTTTAGGAGGAAGACCAAAGCAATATTCTAATAATGCCGAAAGACAACGAGCTTATAAATTAAGAAAAAAACAAGAGAAATTTGGAGAAAAGGCAGAGTTAAGAGAATATAGGAGTTATGGGGGAAAACCAACTTTTACCTTTACTAGAATGATTTGTAATAATTGCCAAAGTAAAAGTATTGGTGGATCACAACATTTAGATCAACAATGCCCTAGTTGTTTTGGAGGAAAAACAGTAGAAGACAAAAGCGAGATTAGAAAAAGAGCAGGAAGTGTTAGGGAAAGAATGAGGAGATTTAGAAAAAAAAAGCCCCCTACGGGGTCTTTAAAAAGTGTATAATCACGCCACGTGAGGAGTAGCGTGAGGAGTAGAATACCTTCCTATTCACTATTAGGAGTTTAGCCTTTGTTTGGTTAGAACTCCTAATAACTAATAGTGAATAGTGTAGGATTATCTAGCGGAGGATTGAACTCCGCCACGAGAGGGTTTTTATATTCAGTTAAGATTAAGTTATAACCAAGTAAAACCTCTGATTTAATTACCTCTTATCGTGCACCCTCATTGAAGAGCTTCAATTTTTTTTCATCAGTTAAGATACAAACTACTAAAAAATTATTAGAATAATTACTCTAAAAATCAAAAAATAGATTGAACTACACTAATTAGCGTATATATACCTATACTTAGTTCTTATTTGCTTAATCAAATCTACTCCAATATTTACTCCTCCAAATCAATTAGAAAAATTAAGTTTTTCGAAGATATTATCAAAGACAATGTTAAAGAAAAGAACTATGACATACCACAAAGAAACAATCTTATTAATTATTGATTTTAATAAATTACTAGTTACGCGACCAGGCCGCACTCCATCGATATAAATCCCTTTTCTTCGCAATTCTTTGCCAATTTCACTCGGTTTTCATTGCACAAAACGCATTTGTGATCAAACTACTAGTCAACGAAGAAAAATAAGGAAAGAAAGCACTCCGAAAATTTTTCACTTAGCTCCACTAATTCAATCCCGAATATTTCTGCTGGCAAAAATTTTTTTTTCTTCATTAAGGATAAAAAGAGAACTCCAAAACCCTTGATTTTTTCCTATTTTGTCCACCGATATTTGCTTTTCACTTTGGATTTCTCCCCATTTTTCAAACACTTCGCCCAACTTAAATCAATTCGCTCTTCCTTTAATAAGATAAAGACTGTAAAAAAAAGAAATAAATTGCGAAAGATAAATTAATGGCATAAAACTAAGACTTAATTTGAACCCTAGTTTAGAATCTTTTTTTTTCAACAATTTATTATCTTGACTATAAAGAGTATTAGTGTCAACTGGCACCTCTCATTTTAAATTGGTTACCCAAATAAAGAAAACTGTAATAAAGAACAAAGAAAGAAAACTAAGCGGTTTTCATTCTCCTTTAAACAAATCTTGAGGAAAGAATTCTACCAGCAACATGAGATTAAAAGCACTACAAATTCCGTACTGATTCATTAACTGAGCAAGTAACTCTAATAAGCAACAATTAACTACCGTAACGACAAGCAATAACAGCAGAATATCACCTAAACTATTTTTTCAAACATTCCGAAAACTAATCAGTCCAAAACCTAAAGAAAAAATAAATACTAAAAATTTGTTAATTAAATGGCGTCATTTTTTGAATTTAACTTGATCCGTTTTTTCTGAAAGAAAAAATTGAAGAAATAAACCCAAAAAAAAGTTAACTTGTAACTGAACACCAATACCTAAAAAGAATAACTTATAATTCCTTTCATTCTCCTGAATATTGGTCAGTCATTGGCTAGGAAAAGGAATTTTGTATTTGCCAAAAACATAAAATATTAACCCTGCCAAACTTACTAAACAGCCTAGCAAAAAAACGTAACGCTGTTCTTTAATTCTTTTTCCTTTGCTACTAACCGCCATAAACTATTTTTTTATTATCTGAAATTTTCCTCCTGCTTTAATAATCTTCTCCTGAGCAACCCGAGAGAAAAAATTTGCCTTAACTGTCAAAGCCTTAGTTAATTCTCCTTCTCCTAGTATCTTCACATGAAATTTACTTTGAGTGTAATCCACTGTCTGCCCAGTAATAATCTTCTCATCATTTTCTAATTTTTCTAGATTAATCACCTGAAAAGAAATTTTAGGAATTTTAAATCCTCCACCCCGCTTAGGAAAACGTCGATAAACTGGAGTTTGACCACCCTCAAATCCCGGACGAGTATGACCACTTTTCCTTGCCTTTTGCCCTTTTTGACCTCGCCCGCAAGTTTTTCCACTACCCGAACCTTCACCGCGGCCAACAATCTTTTTTTTCTTGACAATAGTAGTTAAATAATTATTAGTAGTCATATTTTTTTCCAGTTAACTTGTCTAAACACATAAAAGCCGCTCGAATAACATTCATTTTGTTACGCGAACCAATTATTTTTGCACTGATGTCTTTAATTTCTAAATATTTGAATAACTTACTAAGTATTCCACCAGCTCTAATACCATTTCCGGGAGGAGCAGGCTTTAAAAAAACTTTAGTTGCTCCATCTTTCACTAACACCTGATAGGGAATAGTTTGAATCGGCTCAGGAAAATAAACAACCAATTTTTTTTGAGCTTTCCGCACAGACTTGCGAAAAGCACTGATTGCTTCCTTGCCGCTTGCACGCGCAAAAGCAACTGCCCTTTTTTCTTCATCTTTGACCAAAACCAAAGAAGTAAAACTAAACCTTCGTCCACCCTTAGTTACAGTCACCGGCCGCTTTGTCTCTAATTTTTCAGTTTTAAGACGAACATATTGACCCCTTTTTTCAAACTCCTTACTCTTTTTTTCTAATTTGCTCGAGACTCACTTTTTTTCTCTCTCGACCACCTTTAAACTATCTTTTTCTTTCTCCATTTAAAAATTAATTCCTAATTGCCTCATTGATTCACAAAATACTTTTATCTTTCCATGATAAGGCCGGCCGTTGCGGTCAAAAACAATCTGCCTTTTACCTTCCTTTTTTAATTTTTCTGCGAACAATTCTCCCAATTTTTTCGCGTATTCTCTATTTTTGCGAGAAAAATTATTGCTTTCTTCAATCAAATCAGCAGTTGATAAACATAAAAGTGTATGTCCTATCCTATCATCAATAGCTTGGACTCTTAAAAAACGATCAGACTCACTTAAAACTACTCGTGGTGTTTGCCCAGTTCCTATTACTAAATTACTTCTTCGTTTTCGTATTTGCCGGCGAATTTTCTTTTCTATAATCTTCGTCATATACTTATTATTTATTTAAGGACTTCCCGGGCTTAAGCTTTATACCTTCTTCTTCCCCCACATAGTAAATTCCTTTCGCTTTCTTGTAAACACTCGGTAAACGTAGTGGCTTAATGTCACTGGCTGCAAACTTTCTAACTTGTTGCTTATTTACTCCTTTGATTATTATTTTATTTCCGTCAATTTTTACTTCGAGTTCTTTTGGAATGTCTAAAAGAATCGGGTGAGATTTCCCAAGCAAAAACTCTAATTTATTATCTTTTAAAAAAACCTTATAACCAATTCCTTTTACCTCCAGGACCTCTTGATAACCTTCCGTTACCCCTTTTATCGCGTTGTAAATTAAAGAATTATGAGTTCCCGCTAGCGCTATATTTTCTGATTTCGTAGATATTTTGTTTTCTTCATTAACTACTTCTAACCCACCCGGAAAAAAAATTTCGTTTTTACCTAATGGGCCTTCGACAGTAATTCTTCCTTTGTGTAAAAGCACTTTCACAGTTGGTGGTACTGAAATAATTCGATTAGCAATTTTTGACATAAAAACAATATTTCATTAATTAATGGAAAGAAGGAGTTTACCTCCAGTAGACTTTTGTAAAGCTTCGCGGTGAGTTAATAACCCAAATGGAGTAGAAATAATAAAAACACCTCGACCTCGACAATGTTCTTTTATTTCTTTAACTTTTAGATAAATATGTCGAGAAGAACTTGAAATTTTTTTTATTTCATGAATGTTACTGTATTGATTAGAACATTTAATTCTGACTTTAATGTTCTTGTTTTTTTCATCAAATCAACAATGAGACAGAAAGTTATTTTCCTCCAATTTCTTGCAAATCCTCCATTTAAAAGAAGAATAAGGAAAAACAACATTACGAAATGCTCGCATATTAGCATTACGAATAGTTGTTAACATATTAGCTACCGGATCAGAAAAAGTCATATTTAATATTTTACTAATTACCTACTACCGCACATAAATTCCACACCTTACCAAGAAGCCTTTTTAAAACCTGGTAAAAGCCCTTGATAAACATATTCACGGAAATGTATACGACAAATTCTACCGCCTTCTAAATGTAAAACAAATCGAGGACGGCCACAAACTAAACAACGATAATTCCTTCTTGTAGAATATTTTGGAGTCTTCTTAGATCTAACAATTAATGCTTTTCTTGCCATACAAATTTATAAAATTCTTATAGTCTAACTTACTCTTCGGGAATATTTTTTGTATCTTCTTTAGAGCGAACACTTCGCTTATCTCGAAGAAGTTTATTTCTCATACCTTGCCTGTCCTTTTTTACCTGTTCATCAACAGATAGGATCACTAAAGTTTTCTGTAATTCTCCTTTTTTTTTTTCTAATTCCATTTTCAACCTGTTCTTTTTCTTCCTAACCTCCATCAACCTATCATGAGGATCATTTTTTTTCGCTAAACCTAAATTTTGTGCTATACGGCGAAAAAATCCTACCTTTTCTTCAGAAGGCAAAATATCAATATCTAATTCCAAACTCCTTTCCTTTCTTTCTAATTTATTAACTCTGTTTGTTAAATCTCCTATCGCTAACTGAATTTGTGTAATTAATCTTTTACCACTTTCAATTTTTTCCTCATTTTTTTTCTCTTCTTCCTGGCGAATGCTTTCCCGATTCTTATATTCTTTACAATGGCCTAACAAACAATCTTGCGAACAAAATCCTGCCCCCTCTACAATTTCAATCTCCAAAACTTTTTGCTCTTCCTTTGTCAACCGATAAGGAATTCCCGAAATTCTTATATCACAGAAATAACAATAGCCTTCTTTCGGAACTTTTTGTTGTAAAGGAACTATTAAAAAAGTATCCTTTTCAATTTGCCTAATAATAGTTTCCTTTTCTCTTTGCAAATCTCTTAGCAAATTTTTGTACTCGCGTGCTATCGAATTTCTTTCTTCATGGAGAACATCTTCTTCCTCTGCAAAATGAACACTGCTCAACTTATTAATCATTTTCTCAGCCTTTTCAGCAACATTCATAACTGACTCAGACAAACCTTGCCAGACTTTTTTTTTCTCAGCAGAATTAAGATTAGATCGAGCTAAAGAAAAGAGCGAAAGATTTACTCTTTCTTTCAATTCTTTACATTCGTCTTCATACTTAATTAATTCTTCTCTTGCTGATTGAATGATTGAATAATTCATAACTAAAAGATTATATTTATATTATTATGTTTTAATAGCATTTGCGCTTTATACCAGAACTTCCTTAACAAAAATAACCCTAAACATTTTTACTTATTTGCAATATCCTTATTTTTTTCAACAAAATCTTCATTAGGATTTCAGTTAGTCTCTCTTTTTAATTTATAAAGCATTTCACTAGTTGAATCAGTAACTTTCTTTGGTAATTTTATTTGCAACCAAATAAAAAAATCTCCTCTTACGTTACTATTTATTCCCAGATAACAACCGCGACCACGCAAAACTAATCAATCTCCATTTTGGGTCCCGGGTGCAATTTCTGCTTTGTCTATCCCTTCAAGGGTAATTACTTTTAATTTTCCTCCTAAAATAGCATCCAAAAAAGAGATAGGTAAACTAACATGTATATCATTTCCTTTACGCTGAAAATACGGATTATCCTTAACCTTTATACTAACGTAAATATCACCTTTTCCTCCTCCGTACCAACCATCATTTCCTATTCCTTGATAACGAAGCCTTTTATCTGGCTGAACTCCACGCGGAATACTAAGTTCAATAATTTCTTTTTGTCTTGTAAATTTTTTCCCCCCGCAATATCCACACTTCTTTTTAATTCTTTTACCACTACCTTGACACTGCGAACAAGTAACCTGGTTACGAATAGTTCCCAGAATAGTTCTCTGAATAGTATTAACTATCCCCCTTCCTCGGCAAGATAAACAATCAACAATATCCGAAGTAGTTGCAGCCCCAGTTTGTCGACAAGCACCACATGCTTTTTCTAGATCGATCGAGATTTTTTTCTTCACTCCTAACACTGACTCTTTAAAAGTCAAAACTAAATCAATTAAAACATCATCACCTGCTTGGGTTCTAGTTCGACTTCCAGAATAATTTTCTTGCCCAGAATAGTCTGTTCCTCTACCAAAAAAAGTGTCAAAAATATCCTTAAAAATAGACTCTCCTTGCCCAAATCCTCCTGCTGAAGCACTTTGTCCAAAAGAACCTTCGCTACCGTATTGGTCATAATTCCGGCGTTTTTCAGGATTACTCAAAACTTCATAAGCCTGGTTAATTTCTTTCATCTTCTCCTCCGCAACTTTTTTTTCACTTTCTGACTTACCAACTCAGCGGTCAGGATGCCATTTAAGGGCTAACTTACGATAGGTTTTCTTGATTTCCTCTTCTGAGGCATTTTCTGACACCTCCAAAACATCATAGTAACTTTTTTTTTTCATTATCTAAATATTTATTACAAAAACCGCATGCTCATTAACTGATTCTAATGTTCTTTTTCCCAACACAAGGAAATAATCTTTTTCCTTTTTTAATAACAAAAAAACTACTAATAACCTTTAAAATTTCTCTTCTTTATTCATTTCATCAACAAATTTTCCTAACTTCTCAACCACTTTCTTGATGCAGCATGTGCCACTACACTCATCTCCACTCTGATAATCACTTAAACACTTATTACTTTATTCTATGATAAATCTTTACTTCTCCGTCAGACAATTTTTCTTATATTTAGCAAACTTCTTGGATAAACCTAAACTTTTTCAAATCCTACATCATTTTCCCGCCTAACAATTTAATACCAAGGAAAATTTTTGACTCTAACAAATTTAAATTAATTTACTTTTTATCATCATCCTTTTTTTCCGGGCTAACATCAACAATCTCTTCACCATTAGCACTATTTTCTTTAGGCATCTTTTGCATTAACTCATTAGAGAGTTTCATCATCTCATCAATCTTGTTTAGTTGATTTTTTAACTCTGGATAATTCTTCTCCTCAGTTAATTTTTTTAAACCTTCATACAACTTCTTAAATTCTTGGAATTGAGGGTCATCCTCCTTGAAATTTTTGTGAGATTTAAACTCTTCAATTTGCTTTTCAAAAGTGTAACAATAAGTTTGAGCTCGATTCAGGGTCTCTAAATTATCTTTTAATTCCTCATCTTTAGCCCGATTTTCTTCTGCTTCCTTGATCATTCTTTGAATCTCTTCATCACTTAAACTCTGACTATCTCTAATAACAATCGACTGTTCTTTGCCAGTCTTTTTATCTTTAGCAGAAACTGACACAACTCCATTAGCATCAATGTCAAAAACCACTTCAATCTGCGGAATACCACGTGGTGCTGGCTCAATACCCGTTAACTCAAAAGCAGACAACAACTTATTATCCTGAGCTCGAGTTCTTTCCCCTTGAAAAACACGAATAAAAACACTAGGCTGATTATCCATAGCAGTAGAAAAAAACTCAGACTTTCTAGTTGGAATAGTAGTGTTACGTTCAATAAGTTTGGCAAACATACCTCCCTCCGTCTCAATCCCTAATGAAAGCGGAGTAACATCCAATAAAAGCACGTCTTTAATGTCACCACGTAATACTGCTCCTTGGATAGCAGCTCCCACTGCCACTACTTCATCTGGATTGACTGACTTATTAATTCTTTTTTCACCAAAACGACCTTTAATAAGATTTTCTACCATCGGCATTCGTGTGGAACCCCCTACCAAAATTATTTGATCAATTTCACCTTCTCTTAATTTTGCCTCCCGAAGAGCTTCATCCACTTTTTCAGCAGTTTTCTTCATATAATCTTTTGTTAATTCCTCAAATTTAGCCCGAGTAACTTCCACATTCAAATGAAAAGTTTCACCATTATGAGAAGCAATATAAGGAATAGAAACAGTAGCTTTTAACTTAGCGGACAATTCATGCTTAGTTTGCTCAACTGCTTCTCGTAATCTTTGTAAAGTAATCTTCCGATCTTTTTCTTCTCTATCCTTAGTACGAAGATCAATTTTACTCTCCTTTTTAAATTCTTCAATTATGTAATCAACTAATCTTTTGTTAAAATCATCTCCTCCTAAATCGTTAATACCTGCTGTGGAACGAACTTCAAAAGTCCCTCCTTCTTCGCCTTTAGTAATTTGAAGAATAGAAACGTCAAAAGTTCCACCACCCAAGTCATAAACTAATATTTTTTGATCTCTTTCAACACGATCCAAACCATAAGCTAAAGCCGCAGCAGTTGGCTCATTAATAATTCTTTCTACCTTTAATCCTGCAATTAGTCCAGCATTCTCGGTTGCTTTTCTTTGAGCATCGTTAAAATACGCAGGAACAGTAATTACAGCTCGAGTAATTTTTTTCCCCAACTTTTTCCCCGCATAACCGGCTAGATAATTAAGTATTTCCGCCGACACCTGTTCAGGAGTTAAATCTTTTCCTCCTAACTTAACTTTAGTTGAAGTTCCCATCTTCCTCTTAATAGAAAAAACAGTTTCTGGATTAATCGCTGCCTGTCGTTTAGCTGCCAATCCTACTAAAAATCTATTTTCTTTTTTATCAAAAGACACCACTGAAGGAGTAGTTCTCCCACCCTCTTCGTTTTCTAAAACCCTAGGATTCTTGCCCTCCATGATTGCAATACATGAATTAGTTGTTCCTAGGTCAATACCTACTATATCTTCACTTGTTTTGTTACTCATACTTATTATATATTATTTATTTTCTATCTTGTTGATTTTTTTTACTAATTTTTACCTTGGCCGGACGAAGAACTTTTCCATGAAGAAGATAACCCTTCTCCTTAACTTCTTTAACTGTTCTTTCTGGAAGTTGCTCATCTTCTACCTCCTCATCTAATTCATGGAGATAACTATTTCAAAGGTCAACTCCTTTTTTAATTTCTATTTCTCTTACTCCCTCACTCTCCAACTTCTTCCATAAATTATTTCGCATCATTTCAATTCCAATTAAATGATTTTGAACTCTTTTATCTGAATCACCCCGCATTAACTTTAAAGCCCTTTCTTCTAGATCAACCAAAAAATCAAGCACAGCAAGAACAAATTTCTTATTGCTGTATTTATATATCTCTTCTATTTGAAGGCGAAATTCTTTTTGTTTATTATCTAGTTCAGCCAGTAAATGTAACTTATCCCTTCTCAAACTCTCTATCTCTTTCTCTAATTCTAAACTTTTCTCCTCCTTTGGCTTGTTTTCTAATTGTTCTTTTTTAACCCTTTTTTCCTTCGTAACCTCTTCTTCGCTTTTTATCTTTTCCTTAGAAACACTTTCTTTTTGTTTTTCCTCTTTTTTATTCATACTTTTTTATAGTTTTTGCTTTCTTCATATTTTTTTGCCCAGTTTACTTTAAAAAATTCTTTCTCTGCTCTAATAAAGATAAAGTAGTTATTTTAATTTCATTAGTATCTTTTTCAACGTCTAAGAGAAAGTGCCCTCCTGGTTGAAGAAATTGGAAAATAATTGTCCGTGCCACCACAGTTCCAATTTCTCTTTCAATATAGTGCTTAATAGGTCGTGCTCCGTACTCCCTGGAGTAAGTTTGATGAAAGATCTTTTCCACAATTTCTTCTCTATATTCTAATTTAATATTTCTTTCTTGGGCAACCCGTCGAACAAACAATTTTAACTCTTTAATAATAATCTCTCGCACAACTTCCTTAGTTAAGAGATTAAAAAACACTACTTCATCTAGCCGATTTAAAAACTCCGGACGGAAATGATCCTTTAATTTAAAACTTAAATACTCTTTTAGTTCTTTTTGATTACTTTCAGAAAAGTACAATTCTGAACCTAAATTAGTAGTCAAAACAATAATGGTGTTACGAAAATTAACTTCTTGACCATTAGCTAAAGTAAGAACACCATTATCTAGTATTTGCAAAAGTATATTTAACACTTCTGGATGGCACTTTTCAACTTCATCAAAAAGTAAAACACTATTCATTTTCTCTCGAATAATTTCTAAACGAGGCTTGTCTACAAATCCAACGTAACCCGGCGGTGAACCAATTAATTTACTAACCGAATGGGGTTCCGAAAATTCAGTCATATCTAAACGAACAAGGTTTTTACTTTGATCAAAAAGTTGTTCAGCAATAGTCAAAGCCACCTCAGTTTTTCCCACACCTGTTGGTCCTACAAACAAAAAAGAAACTAAAGGGCGATTAGGATCCTGTATCCCTGCCCGAGCTCGAAAAATAGCATTAGTAACCGCTCTTAAAGCTTGATTCTGTCCCTTTATTTTTTGCCGAAGAATCTCTGGTAGCAAAAACAACTTTTGCTGCTCACTAGCCATGATTTTTCCTATAGGCAAATCACATTTCTTGGCAATAGTCAAAGCAATTTCTTCCTCATTAACTAAATATTTTTTTAAGGTATTTGTACTAACTTCTCCTTCTAACCGGTTAATCTTACTTTTTAATACTGGAATAATAAAATGTTCAAGCTCAGCTGCTTTAGTCAAGTCAATTTCCTTTTGTTGATAACTTATTTTTTGCTTTTCTGCTTGAATTAGTTCTCTCTTGACTTTATTTAATTCTTGAACAATTCTATTCTCCTTTTCGTCTTGCTCTATCAACTCTTTTAACTTTCGCCGATACTCAGAAATTTTCTGGCGAAGAACAAACAACTCAGTTGGCTTTTCTTCCTCTTTAGAAATTGACATCTCCTTCATTTCTAATTCTCTTAACTTGTTACGAGTCTTAGTAATTATTTCTGGTTCATACCACATCTCACCCCTTACTCTCCCGCAAGCCTCATCCAATAAATCAATAGCTTTATCAGGAAGATACCTAGTAGTTAGATAACGCTGAGAAAGTTTTACCGCAGAAACCAAAGACTCGTCAAGAATTTTCAACTCATAATAAACTTCCAAATAATTACGAATACCATGCAGAATCATGAGCGTATCATTAAAACTTGGCTCAGAGACAATTATGTTACTAAAACGGCGAGTTAAAGCCTCATCTTTTTCTAGGTATTGACGATATTCAGTTTGCGTAGTTGCCCCAATACATTGAATTTCACCCCGAGAAAGTAGTGGCTTTAACAAATTAGAAAGATCAAGAGCACCTTGACTACGACCAGCTCCCACAATCAAATGGATTTCATCAATAAAGAGGATCGCACTATTTTCTGGTTGACTCATAAAGTTAAAAATAATTTTCAACCGTTCTTCCAATTCGCCTTGAAACTTAGTTCCTGCCATTAAAGCCATCATATCTAATTGGTAAATAGTTTTACCTTTTAAATAATTAGGAACTTTTTCCTGCTTAATTTTTTGAACTAGTCCCTCAACTATCGCAGTTTTTCCCACTCCTGGATAACCAATTAGTAATGGATTATTCTTCAGCATGCGAGACAAAATATAAACCAACTCTTTAATTTCTTTTTCTCGACCAATAACAGTTAATTCATTAACTTTTTCTTTCTGATTGAGATTTTCGGTAAATTTTGCAATAATTTCTTTTTCTTTTTCCTTGTTCATACAAAAAGCAAAACTTATTGAATTAATCGACTAAACATCAGGACAACCAAGACTATTCCTAGACCAACAACTAAAAAAATTAAAGTTCAGAAACGGCGATTTGCCTCTCTTTTTCGATCACAAGTAATACATAATCAATAACTTTTTCCTGCACTCTGTCAATGGCCAACTCCTCCCCCTCAACCACTTTTGTGTCCATAACCTCCGCCACCAAGATTACCACTACCTTCTTTTTGCTTAATGGCTTCACCCTGTGAAACCATTTGTCCACAATCATAACACCTTACTTGCATGTTTATTTTGTTAATAATATTAATTTTGCTAGAAATTTGTTGATCTTCTCAACTTTTCCCAACAAAACTTTAATTTCTCTTTAAAATGGGGCGAATAGTGAGAATTGAACTCACGAATGCTAGTTCCACAAACTAGTGCGTTAAACCATTTCGCCATATTCGCCATTAAATGGAGCGAGTAACGGGAATCGAACCCGCATCATTAGACTGGCAGTCTAGCATTCTAACCGTTGAACTATACTCGCACGCTAATGCTAACATTAATAAATTTAGGGATTAATATAGTAATGATATGAATAAAATTTAACTTAATGCTCTTTTTATTTCTTCATTCTGCTCCTCAGTAAGACCAGCAGCAAATATTACTCG